TCATAACATTGAATTGATTCTCACCCTTATATTTATATATAGGATATGGGATATTCTATTTCTAATAGGATTCATATATCAATTCTTAATAGGATTCCTAAATTCAATTCCTATTTGCAATTATATTCTTTATTAAATAGTTTTCTTAAAAATATACAATTTCACATAGGAACAAATAGGAAAGCGAGTCACAAATATCCCAAAAATCTTCACCTTGGTGAGTTTTCCATCACAAAGATAGACGTGAGAGTTTTCTATCATAGCAATGAACATGGTTGTAAAGTCTTATCGTCGACTTATGAACTTTGTGTGTGTATTTGTACTTAATTACAATTGTGAATTCTTTGTTGGTTTGCGCAGGTGGTAATATCCTGTGAATGTGCACGCATATTCTTTGTTTTCTTTGATTGTGATTGAACAAAATATATGGACACATTTTTCTTATGTGCAAACATTTCATTTCCCAGTACAGGTGGCACATTTCTTTCTTGATTATCAAGTTTTATTTTTATGCATGATATTTGCATTGCTTTGTCACTTTACAGGTGTTACTCTTTCAAAAGAGCGATCCAAGTGTCCTTATTGAAAACTAGCTTGTACAGTGGATATGAGGAAGTGCAATTATATAAATTGGTCATCTTCTTCCTTGTGTTTCTTTTCAAACCTGATATTCCAAACTTCCATTGATGATATGAAATATTCAGAGTACATTTTTTTAGGTTCTCTTTGTTTGTGATTTACCTTTATCAATCACTTGTTGATCTTTGAGTGTAAGAACTTGGTTCCTCGTTGTTTATGTGCTTAAAGAGAGTTAAGCCAAGGACTTGAAGGGAAGCTTCAACCATTGAAACTTGAGGGGAGCTCAAGCTGTCCAAGAGGATTCTTAGAGGAAGCTGATCGTGAAAAAACTTTGAAGCAATCAGAGGGTGAAGTTTAGCGTATCAAAGAATAGGAAGTTTTACTTTATTGTATCTAAATTCAACTCTGGATTGTCTTGTAATGGTTTGTGTTATATTGGATTAGCTTCAACCTGGATCAGGTCCCATGGATGTAGGCTAAAAGTATTTTTAATCGAACCATGTATCTCCTTGTGTGCTTTATGTATATGCTCATTGGTGATTGATATTTTGGTTGTTTTATGATCATCAAAGAACTTTGTGTAACACCTATCCATAATCATTCTGCTATGCTTCATAAAGAGTTGACAAACTCTTTCAATGACGAAGATAACGCCACCATCACGACATCCAAGTCATAGAGTAACCATGTCCAATTTTGCTAGCAACCAAGTCGCTTAGTAACCATGCCAAATTTTGTCGCCAAGATTTAAGAATCACTCCACCTACAACTTAAACCTATTGTAGACTTGTAGTCTGTCTTTTATGTGCATCCACCATCTCGAAAGAACTCATCTCCCAGGTCGCAACTTGGAGCTCTAATACCACTTGTTAGGAGATCGCATAGCAAAAAACATATATTTAAGATAAATAATATATAAAGAGACAGGATATTTACGTAGTTCAGCATAGCCCGTCTACACCTACGGATCAGAAAAATTCACTATAGTTTCATGAACATGATATATAAACTCGGTGCGTAAAATAGAGAAGAAACAATCCTAGTTTCTAACCACACTCAACCCAGTACCTAGAGTGGAAATGATTCTAATTTCTAAGACACTCTCCCCATGGTGTTTAATAACTCTTACATCAAATACCTTGTGTTCTCACATTCTCTCATAACCTTGAATTGGATCTCACCCCTGTATTTATAGGTAGGATATGAGATATTCTATTTTAATGAGATTCATATTTCAATTCCTAATAGGACTTCTAAATTATATTCCTATTTACAATTGTATTCTTTATTAAATAGTATTCCAAAAGACATACGATGTCATCGAAATCGGCATCTGCCGATCTACACAACCCAAATTATTTTGCCAGCATCCGATACAGCCTTTGACCACGGGCAAATAAAATATATTTGTCATTCACCTACAGTTTAATGATATGTCGAATATGAGTTGTGTAGATTGGTTGATGTCGATTCCGGTGACACTGATAGTGTCATCGAACGTGCAACCCACCCAAGTGATCACTAGCGGTGTTTCAGCGGCATTGGAAGTGATAGTTTGATGTTGGCACTAACAGTAATATAATTTAATATTTTTTTATAAAATAAATAATTTTATATATTGTCAAAGGGTATATATTTATGTTTCACACATCCAAGATCAGCTTTAAAAATAAATTGATTTTTATTATTATCCTTTAGAATCTTTTTATAAAACTTATTGTAATATAATCAATTTAAAACTTAATCAGTTTTGAAAGCTAGTTACCAAACAATTTTATCATCATAGTTTAAAAATTAAATAGTAATACTACACATACAAATAAATCTTACAAAGATTTCTATACAAAGTGATGTGACAGAAAATAAATAGAAAGGTGAATATAATAAATTTGACTTTTTGTATTCACTCTTTCGTACATTTTTTGACACATCATTTTATATAAAAAAAATTTTGTAAGATTTCTTTATACTTGTATTAATAAAAATTAAAAGAGAAAATCCCAAACGCACTCATAAAACCCTAAAAAGTCAAGCAAAAAGTCAATCAAGAAGAAATTAGTAAGTAAAACTTAATCTTTATCAAGATTTCTTCCTCTACTCATCTGTTTATTTATCCTTTGCACTCAATCACACAATAGGCATTAAAAATGCTAATCTGAACCTCACTTTCTCACTAACAAACTATCAATTGATCTTGGGAGCTGAACAGCCAACACTTTTATATGTTTGTGTTTAAAGCTCATTATCAGACAATTTATTAACAGGAATCTGTAAAGCTCATTACAATTTATTTCAAGGTTTGGCTTGTAAGCTTAAATTTGGAAACTATTAATTTAAAGTTCAATTGAAGAGAAAGAATATTGATTAATAATTAAATGATATACAAAATATTAATTAATATATATTGTAATTTATGAAAGAGGAGGAAGACGTGGCTTAAAGGCCTCCCATTGAATGTCTTTCTCAATGTACTCAACATTAGAAGGATCAAAAGGCCCTTTGATTCTGTCTATAGATTTTATCACTGCTCTTGCTGGAACCACACTTCTTGATGGATCTGGTGAAGTCCTACCACTCAAGCTAGAAGAGAATCCCTGAAATTTTACATAATTAAATTATATGCTGAAAAAATCAGAATTAGAAAAACTATGATCAAAATGGACTCACCCTGAAAATAAGCACTTCTACCTCCTGCTCATCCACAAGAGCTTTCACAAGAAGCGCTTCTCCTCTTGCCGACTGAGAATAAATTTCCAGCATTGCGATCTCCTCCTTGTACCCATATTCCTCTTCATCTTCTTCATATCTCACTCTCCTCCTCGCACCACAGCAAGTGCTTCTCATCAAAATTTGTTGTCTGCTGCTGAGTTTTAACAAAGCTTCGTTAACGGTGAAGTTCATGGCCGTAGAGCTGCAAAGAGAGGCCGTGTTCAAGCGTGAAAACAGCAGGAACATGGACGGATAAGAGCTGTGAATAGCCTGGAGCCTCATCTTGAAATTCTATCTTCAGATTTAATGTTGAGCAGAAGCTACACAAATTTTATATTGAGTGTGTTTGATTCGTGGATACGGCCAGGTTTAAAGATAAGGTTACAAGTTTTAACACCGGGTTGCCAATGCAACTATTCTATTGAACCCCAAGGTTTAGTTTAACAACAAACATCCCCCTATGAGCTATGACTTCATATATAACAAAACAAAACTCTCCATATTGTTGATAAGCCGTTAAACTTTTAAGGGTAGTTTTGTTATTTGATGAAGTCTCCAAGGAATTTTTATTGCTAAATCATAAGAATATTGACATAAATACCCTTTTTTCATTTATTTTAAACCGAAAAGTTTGATGACTCACTTATGATAGAAGAATTTTTGTTAATTCCAAAACCTGGTGCAGATATTTATATAATGAAATCTCACAGGAATTATGCATTAACGCTTATTCATTTTTATATGATTTTACAAAAAAAAAGATTTTCAAATGTGAAAAGGCTCCAAATTTTAGGAAACATTNCATAAAGAGGAGATATGCAGAGATTAAATAAAACTTAAAATTTAAATAAACATTAATTAAAATAATCTTACAACCTAATAAGACAATGGCGACAGAGCCGCACTGAAATCATATTAAGAAGTAAGATTAACACTTAACTAGGTAACGGCGGCAGTGCCGCATTGGAACCAGATTAAGTGATGAACAAAAATTTAAAGAAACAAAGGACACAAATAAAAACTTAAATAAACATTACAAATAAAAACTTAAATAAACATTAGAACCAAACATGATGAATGATGAAGAGATTAATAAAAGAACTAGAACTTGAAAGTTTAAAAGAGAATAATCAAAGAATTTGAAAGATTAAACATTGAATGATTATTGAAAGAAATTGAACTTACAATGAAAGCTTTCTTTTTAGAGAGCTTTGAGAGGTTTACATCAAAAGAGAGTGAAAGAGAAAGTTTTAGAATTGGCTTTGTAAAGCTTGGTTCACATTGCACAAGTCCTCCTAATTTATGGAAACCTTATCTCACTATAGCATCACATGAATACTATTGAGTGAATATTTTAATAATTTTATTTTTTATTTTTTTAAGGAACATTAAATGTCTCTTTTGCAGAGAATCTCTGACTCTTTAATATTATGCCAGATATTCGCTGAAGTTGATGTCGGTTTTTTGGCCAGTCTTCTTTTTTAGAGAAGCGGTAATTTCGAACTGTTTGGAATAAGTTAGATGATTCCATAACAGTCATCTTCATTGCTCTGGGCGAGATTGACCGAGGCACTAGAGCTTTGTTAAGATTCTTCTTCTTTTTCTTCTTCTGCTTCTTTTTCTTCATCTTGGAGTTGTGAAAGAATAGTCTTGAGGTGGTCTTTAAGTTCTTGTTTTATCTTGGCTCCTGCTAAGGATACTNAATACCACCTCAAGACTATTCTTTCACAACTCCAAGATGAAGAAGAGGAAGCAGAAGAAGAAGATGGAGAAGAATCTTACCGAAGCTCTAGTGCCTCGGTCAATCTCGCCCAGAGCAATGAAGATGATTGTTATGGAATCATCTAACTTATTCCAAACAGTTCGAAATTACCGCTTCTCTAAAAAAGAAGACTGGCCAAAAAACCGACATCAGCTTCAGCGAATATCTGGCATAATATTGAAGAGTCAGAGATTCCCTGCAAAAGAGACATTTAATGCTCTTTAAAAAAAATAAAAAAAATTATTAAAATATTCACTCAATAGTATTCATGTGATGCTATAGTGAGATAAGGTTTCTATAAATTAGGAGGACTTGTGCAATGTGAACCAAGCTTTTACAAAGCCAATTCTAAAACTTTCTCTTTCACTCTCTTTTGATGTAAACCTCTCAAAGCTCTCCAAAAAGAAAGCTTTCATTGTAAGTTCAATTTCTTTCAATAATCATTCAATGTTTAATCTTTCAAGTTCTTTGATTATTCTCTTTTAAACTTTCAAGTTCTAGTTCTTTTATTAATCTTTTCATCATTCATCATATTTGGTTTTAATGTTTATTTAAGTTTTTATTTGTGTTCTTTGTTTCTTTAATTTTTTGTTCATCGCTTAATCTGGTTCCAGTGCGGCACTGTCGCCGTTACCTAATTAAGTGTTAATGTCACTTCTTAATATAATTTCAGTGTGGCTCTGCCATCGTTGTCTTATTAAGTTGTAAGATTATTTAAATTAATGTTTATTTAAATTTTAAGTTTATTTAAGTTTTATTTAATCTCTGCATATCTCCTCTTTGTGTGCAATGATCCTGTGTTCCCTTTGTGTGTAATGATCATGTGTTCCCTCTGGTATCAGAGCCAGGGATAACACAGGATTGTTGCACACAAAGAGGAGATATGTAGAGATTAAATAAAACTTAACTAAACTTAAAATTTAAATAAACATTAATTTAAATAATCTTACAACTTAATAAGACAATGGCGGCAGAGCTGCATTGAAATCATATTAAGTAGTGAGATTAACACTTAACTAAGTAACGGCGGCAGTGCCGCACTGGAATCAGATTAAGTGATGAACAAAAATTTAACGAAACAAAGAACACAAATAAAAACTTAAATAAACATTAGAACCAAACATGATGAATGATGAAGAGATTAATAAAAGAACTAGAACTTGAAAGTTTGAAAGAGAATAATCAAAGAACTTGAAAGATTAAACATTGAATGGTTATTGAAAGAAATTGAACTTACAATGAAAGCTTTCTTTTTGGAGAGCTTTGAGAGGTTTACATCAAAAGAGAGTGAAAGAGAAAGTTTTAGAATTGACTCTATGATCTCCTTGGCTTTGATACCAGAGGGAACACAGGATCGTTGCACACAAAGATGAGATATGCAGAGATTAAATAAAAACTTAAATAAACTTAAAATTTAAATAAACATTAATTTAAATAATCTTACAACTTAATAAGACAACGGCGGCAGAGCCGCACTGAAATCATATTAAGAAGTAAGATTAACACTTAACTAGGTAACAGCGGCAGTGCCGCACTGGAACCAGATTAGGTGATGAACAAAAATTTAAAAAAACAAAGAACACAAATAAAAACTTAAATAAACATTAGAGCCAAACATGATGAATGATGAAGCGATTAATAAAAGAAACTTGAAAGTTTAAAAGAGAATAATCAAAGAGCTTGAAAGATTAAACAGATATATATATTGTAATTTATGAAAGAGGAGGAAGACGGGACTTAAAGGCCTCCCATTGAATGTCTTTCTCAATGTACTCAACATTAGAAGGATCAAAAGGCCCTTTGATTCTGTCTATAGATTTTATCACTGCTCTTGCTGGAACCACACTTCTTGATGGATCTGGTGAAGTCCTACCACTCAAGCTAGAAGAGAATCCCTGAAATTTTACATAATTAAATTATATGCTGAAAAAATCAGAATTAGAAAAACTATGATCAAAATGGACTCACCCTGAAAATAAGCACTTCTACCTCCTGCTCATCCACAAGAGCTTTCACAAGAAGCGCTTCTCCTCTTGCCGACTGAGAATAAATTTCCAGCATTGCGATCTCCTCCTTGTACCCATATTCCTCTTCATCTTCTTCATATCTCACTCTCCTCCTCGCACCACAGCAAGTGCTTCTCATCAAAATTTGTTGTCTGCTGCTGAGTTTTAACAAAGCTTNGTTATTGAAAGAAATTGAACTTACAATGAAAGCTTTCTTTTTGGAGAGCTTTGAGAGGTTTACATCAAAAGAGAGTGAAAGAGAAAGTTTTAGAATTGACTCTATGATCTCCTTGGCTTTGATACCAGAGGGAACACAGGATCGTTGCACACAAAGATGAGATATGCAGAGATTAAATAAAAACTTAAATAAACTTAAAATTTAAATAAACATTAATTTAAATAATCTTACAACTTAATAAGACAACGGCGGCAGAGCCGCACTGAAATCATATTAAGAAGTAAGATTAACACTTAACTAGGTAACAGCGGCAGTGCCGCACTGGAACCAGATTAGGTGATGAACAAAAATTTAAAAAAACAAAGAACACAAATAAAAACTTAAATAAACATTAGAGCCAAACATGATGAATGATGAAGCGATTAATAAAAGAAACTTGAAAGTTTAAAAGAGAATAATCAAAGAGCTTGAAAGATTAAACAGATATATATATTGTAATTTATGAAAGAGGAGGAAGACGTGGCTTAAAGGCCTCCCATTGAATGTCTTTCTCAATGTACTCAACATTAGAAGGATCAAAAGGCCCTTTGATTCTGTCTATAGATTTTATCACTGCTCTTGCTGGAACCACACTTCTTGATGGATCTGGTGAAGTCCTACCACTCAAGCTAGAAGAGAATCCCTGAAATTTTACATAATTAAATTATATGCTGAAAAAATCAGAATTAGAAAAACTATGATCAAAATGGACTCACCCTGAAAATAAGCACTTCTACCTCCTGCTCATCCACAAGAGCTTTCACAAGAAGCGCTTCTCCTCTTGCCGACTGAGAATAAATTTCCAGCATTGCGATCTCCTCCTTGTACCCATATTCCTCTTCATCTTCTTCATATCTCACTCTCCTCCTCGCACCACAGCAAGTGCTTCTCATCAAAATTTGTTGTCTGCTGCTGAGTTTTAACAAAGCTTCGTTAACGGTGAAGTTCATGGCCGTAGAGCTGCAAAGAGAGGCCGTGTTCAAGCGTGAAAACAGCAGGAACATGGACGGATAAGAGCTGTGAATAGCCTGGAGCCTCATCTTGAAATTCTATCTTCAGATTTAATGTTGAGCAGAAGCTACACAAATTTTATATTGAGTGTGTTTGATTCGTGGATACGGCCAGGTTTAAAGATAAGGTTACAAGTTTTAACACCGGGTTGCCAATGCAACTATTCTATTGAACCCCAAGGTTTAGTTTAACAACAAACATCCCCCTATGAGCTATGACTTCATATATAACAAAACAAAACTCTCCATATTGTTGATAAGCCGTTAAACTTTTAAGGGTAGTTTTGTTATTTGATGAAGTCTCCAAGGAATTTTTATTGCTAAATCATAAGAATATTGACATAAATACCCTTTTTTCATTTATTTTAAACCGAAAAGTTTGATGACTCACTTATGATAGAAGAATTTTTGTTAATTCCAAAACCTGGTGCAGATATTTATATAATGAAATCTCACAGGAATTATGCATTAACGCTTATTCATTTTTATATGATTTTACAAAAAAAAAGATTTTCAAATGTGAAAAGGCTCCAAATTTTAGGAAACATTAAAAGATAATTTTTTACAAATTTTTAGTATTATAAAGATTAATTAAAATTTTGTTTTTCAATATAATAAAACATCTATAAATGGGTTTCACAATTTTTTTTTTTTTTTTAATGTAGACATCAGTCTATAATTCTATATTTATAGTGTTTTGTATTAAATATGTAAAAAGGATTTAATTGAGTTAAAATCGAATACAAGACTTTTAACTCCATTTTATATTAAAATCATTTAACTTAATTTGTCTTATGTTATAGTAAAAACGCAAAACCCATTTTCATCATCAACTACCCTGTACAATCAATGTATTATGAGAAATGCTAGAGGTACAAAGACTCTTACAGAGAATCTTTGTACAAAGGCACCAATTTTCACCAATGTTTTAAAACCCAACTCGGGGTGAAAGCTGGCAAAGTTGTCGGGTCTCAGGTTGACCAGTTTGACCGATGGTCAAACCGGTTGACAAAAACTTCTAAAATTCAGCAAATATACCCCTAATAATTACATACCCCTAATAATTGTTAAGTCCTTATATGTTTGAAATTTAGCAAACAAACCCCAAATACAAATCGGCTGACTACTGGTTGGCAGTGGTGACACCCCAGATGCAACTCCAATCATCCCTTGAGCCCATTCCCCTTAAAATATACACAAGATCTGGCCGAAATAAGTTCGACTTCGGCCAGATCTCACCGACGCTGGCATCGGCATTCCAGGCCAGATCTCATCGACGTCGGTGTTGACAACTCTCCCCATCACCTAGAAATTACTCCCCTCTTCCTCCCGACCAAAACCCACCTCATCTCATCCCCGTTAGCCTCGCCAATCTTTGGCAAAAGCCGGTTGTTGCCACTGCAAGTTTTGTCGATTTCTAGTTGATTTACTCACCGGAAATCGACTTTGTCACCACTATTGTATTCACCGTCACTTTCTCTTCAAAAGCCCCAACATCTCGGCCATCAATTGTCCACCGATCATCCTCCTAAATCCTAGGGTTTTGGGTGAATAGGAAAAATATAAACCCAACCCGTTGAAGCTTCCGGGTCCCAATTGAACTGGTTAAACCGGCCGGGCTGGGCTAAGTTTTAAAACATTGGTTTTCACACATCACCTGCCCTCTCTCTTTAGTCTTCTCTCTTTCTTTTCCTTCTCTTCTTCTTCTCCCTCCATCTTCTCTCCGTTTTGCATATATAAGAAAATAAAAACTATTATTTTTCTTTTTCCTTTATCATTGATTTTCTAAAAAAAAAATTCTCCGCTCTTTTATCTCCTCTATCTTCTCCCTCCCATCTCTTCTTCCTCTTCTTCTATTTCTTTTTCCTTTTCCCTTTTTTTTATTTTCCCTTATATTTTCTCATGGAAAATTCCCTCTCTAAATTTTTTCTACATTCTGTTCACATTTTCTTAGAAAATACCGTCTCTAAACAAACAATGTAAAAAAGCAGAGTGTAGTGATGGAAGAGAGAATCAGATCACCAAGATTTAAATCGGTTCTCTAGGCCTGAAAGGAACTCTCCCACCACACCTTAGGAACTTAACTTCACTGACTATACTTGAGGTGATGAAGAACGAACAGAGTGGGCCTATCCCAACTCTTGCTAGGTTGATTTCTCTTCAAGAAGTGCTTTTTAATAACAACAATTTTTCATATTTCCACCGGATTTCTTTTCTGGGTCAACTTCTTTGCAAAGTGTAAGCCTTGATTAAATTCCTTTGAGTCTTGAGAGATTCCTGTGGGTTTAACAAATGCAATGACTTTGCAGAAGTTTTTAGCAAACTTCTAATATTATTTGTTTAAATTTACCATCAATTCATTAAATTTGAGAGTTATAGAATTTATATATAAAGGCTTAACATACAATTATCTTTAACATTGTTTTTTTAGCAAGTATGAGAAAATTTGATTAACTGAAGAAAAAAAATGACAGCTAGACAAGGGATTTAATGAGTCTTTATCTCTCAACTAAAATTATATATAATGGAAAAAATAAATGCATGAAAAAAGAAAAATAAAATGCATAGGAAAGTATTAAGAGAAACAATGATGTGTCAACCCTCAAGCATCGCTCCATAATTTTTTTTTAATTTTGTGAAGGTAAATCTCATTAGATAAAGGATATTCACCCAAATTCAATTAGTCTAATATCTAAAATCCATCAACAACTTTGAGAGGTTAATATTTTTTTTAAATGTTAAATTAATGAAATTGTTGATAAATTTGAAGATTAAATTGATAATATTTCTGAAACTAGAATGTGCTCACTATAAGAAAAAGGGCTAAACACACAACGGTTAGAATCACATTTTTAAAACCAGTAAAAGATCAAACACACAAGAGTTAGGATTGCATTTTCCAAACCGGTAGATGTTCACTACAAAAAGAGCAAACACATGGGTTTTACTATGTAAAAAACCCAAGGTTTTATTATCCTTTAAATTTCAATTTAATTAATTGTTGCATGCCCATTTATATTTGAACATGCTTGCATTTATTTTTATTTGCAGTGTGAAGCTTCTTTATTTACTTTAGTTTCTTTACTGTAATTTATTTTCTTGTATTATAGTCTATATATTTTTTATATGACCATTTATTTCTTTCTAAATTTCAGCCTTTTTTTTATTTAATGCTTCCACCAATTAATAAAATTCCTACTCAAGAAGAAAGCGCACTCATGTGTCACAATATAATTAATTAGCTCAATATCAACAATTTAATTGCACAATAATTTTTATTTGTGTAATTCAATACTTTGATATTTGATACAATGACATGATCTAAGTCTAGGGGTGAGCACGGGTAGTGAGTAGAACCGGAACTTCTGGGTAGAACTGGAACTGACACTATGCGGGTAGGTTCCGATTCTATTTTTTTGGAACCGACACTGTGCGATTCCGGTTCCGGTTCCTATATGTGGAGGAACCGGAACCGGAATCTTAAAAAAAGAACCTACAACGGGTACCTGGCTTGGAACCTGCAGTGAGTACCCTGTTTTAGAACCTAGGTTGAAATGAAATATCTGTGAAAAATGGGGGGTCTATGTAAATTTACATATAAAAAATTAAAATGGAAAAAGTTAAATTTTTACAATAACCTAATTAAATACAATTATACTCATTACATATAAAGTACACCATATAAAAAATTTAATATATTATAATATATTAATATTAAAGTTTTGATTAATTAATTGTATAATTGGAATTAAAACCAATTAAAAGTATTTTAATGTTATTAAAAGAATTATATTTTAATAGAATAGTATATTTGATTGAATAATAATATAATATTTAGTTATTTACTTCAATTATCAAGTTCTAAGTATATCTGCAATTAATTAGTAATTAATTAATTATATAAAATAAATTGATAAACATTAATACATTACTAATTAAATGATTACTTAATTAATTATAACATTATATTATAGTTAAATGATTACTTAATTAATTACAAAATTTCATTATAAACATTAGTACAATACTTAATTAAACGATTAAAAATTTAATTAATTATAATATTACATTAAATATTTATAATATGATTACTTAATTCATTATAACATTACATTATAGTATGATCACATAATTAATTATAACATTATATAATGAAATAATTACTTAACTAATTATGAAATTATATTATAAACATTAGTAATTTACTACATTAGTACAATACTTAATTCAATGATTAGAAATTTAATTAATTATAACATTATATTATAAATTTATAGTATGATTACTTAATTAATTATAACATTATATTATAAAAAAATGATTACTTAATTAATTATAACATTCCATTATAAACATTAATACAATACTTAATTAAATAATTATAAATTAATTAATTATAATATTATATTAAAGATTTATAGTATGATTACTTAATTCATTATAACATTACATTATAGTATGATCACATAATTAATTATAACATTACATAATAAAATGATTATTTAATTAATTATGACATTATATTATAAACATTAGTAATTTACTACATTAGCACAATACCTAATTAAATGATTAAAAATTTAATTAATTTTAGCATTACATTATAAATTTATAGTATGGTTACTTAATTAAATGATTACTTAATTAATTATAACATTCTATTATAAACATTAGTACAATACTTAATTAAATGATTAAAATTTTAATTAATTAAAACATTGCATTATAATTAAATAATTAAAATTTTAATTAATTATAACATTACATTATAGATTTATAGTATGATTACTTAATTAATTATAATATTCTTTTATAAACATTAGTACGATACTTAATTAAATACTTAGAAATTTAATTAATTATAATATTAAATTATAGATTTATAGTATGATTGTTTAATTAATTTAATTAATTGTTTGTGTTTTGGTTTTGATTGAAGAATTTTATGTGAATTGTGATGAATCGATTGAATTCAAGTGTTGCCTAGAGGTTAGAGGATTTATGAGTCACATTGGACACAAATGAATGAGTAATCAAATTTTTGTTAGGGGTGTATTTGTAAACTTTTAAGGTATTTT